AGCCCAAATTACTTTGTTTACTTCTTAACTTCCGGTATAGAGTATACCCCAGAGTAAGAAGGCATGTGATAGAGGAGATAGGCATTGTAGGCATGGCTTGGATAATAGGATATATATATATATATATATTACATATTCACTGAAATCTAGACAACTGTGAAAGTTATTTATAACATTTTTATACAGCCTCGAAGATGAAGTGTTGTAACGTCTTGTTTTTACCTCACCAACTCACCTATGCATCTTTACATTGCAACGCGCTTCATCTTAACCCTATCACGCTCGGGCTATTTTTTTCTAACAGAGATGGGGGGTGTTGTCCACCCCCCCCCCTATGATTTTGCTCTTAGAGTTGAGATAAGGGAGTGTGATACATGTCAATAGTCCAACTTTTCAAGGCCGGCTCATAAAAAAAATTAAACCTCTAACTTTAATGATTTATAGGGTGTAAGGGAGGATTTTTAAAAAGTTCAAAAAGTATGTCGAACAAATTTTCAAAAATAGTTATTTTTACTTTTGACAAATATTAACATGCTAGGCTTTTAGGGTGTTTCGCGCCCAATGCCCATCTTTGAGCGGCTTTAACTTTAACCATAAAAAAAAATAAAAGTTTGCGGTTTTCACAATATTTTTTGGCGCATTTTCAAAATTTTACAAAAATTAAAAAGTTTTGAACACAAATTTTTGAAGTTTTGATCATTCATAAACATTCCCTGGGGTACGTCCCACACATTAAAATTTGGTCCCGATCGCTTCCGACGTTTTGACGTTTATTGGATACAAACAAATAAACAAACAGACAGACAAGCTAAATTTATATATAGATAAGTCTTAGTCCTGTAGCTTAATTAATAAAAAAGTTATTAACCATTTTTTTTTGGAATACCGACCCGCCGTTTGACCCTTCTCCACCATACCCTACGCATAAAAATGTTTTTTAGCAGACTTTGTTCACAACTTGATGTTGAAAAAGTGAAGAAGCTTTAGCGATCTATAAATGTAAGCCATTTTTAAGTTATTTAGAAGAAACAACAGGGTTTCAAGAGGTTTTAGACCTCCCTGGAAAGAAAAAAAATTTAATCTTTCCCTGGAAAAATTACTGACTGCACCCTTAAATATACCCCTTCCCTTCTCATACTTTTCCTATCATTCTTTTACTTCCTCTAATTTTTCCCTTCTCCTCTCATACTTCTCCTATTTTTCTTATACTTCCTTTAATATTTCCCTTCCCCTCTGATACTTCTCCTATTTTTCTTATACTTCCTTTAATATTTCCCTTCCCCTCTCATACTTCTCCTATTTTTCTTATACTTCCTTTAATATTTCCCTTCCCCTCTTATACTTCTCCTATCTTTCTTATACTTCCTTTAATATTTTCCTTCTCTCTCATACTTTTCCTATCATTCTTATACTTCCATTGATATTTCCTTTCCCCTATCATACTTCTCCTATCTTTCTTATACTTCCTTTAAGATTTTCCTTCTCTCTCATACTTTTCCTATCATTCTTATCCCTCCTTTAATATTTCCCTTCCCTTCTTAGGCTCTCATATACTTCTATTTCTTATACAGGGTGTCCCAAAAAACATGGGAATTTAGTGACGAAATGGATATCGTCTTTGTTATGAATTAGCATTGTAATACCTAATTTCAAAAGCCATGTCTGCTCGAGTTTATTTTATGAAAAGGTAAAAGACTGTAAAGATGTGTCTATAATGTCTCCACAAGATAAACAGTGAAGACGGACAAGTTTACTCTGTTTGTATACTGCAATTTTCTTGTTTTACTAAGTTCAACCGTATGCAGTCAAAACATAAACAAGCAAAATGTGAACATAGCAGACGAAACTCTTACAGATTACAGCTTTCGCAGTAGGTATCACTATACTAAATTAAAGAATTATCTAAAAAGACGATATCTAATTCGTCACTGAATTCCCATGTTTATTGGGACACCCTGTACTTTCTCTCCGTTTTCCATGTTTCCCATCCCTCTCTCTATACTTAACTTTACCTCTTCGATATCTTTATTCTTCCTCCTGACCCATCTCTTTTTCGTCCCTCCCTTTCTCATGTTTCAACCAATCCCAATCCTTCCATACTTCCCTTGCCTCTTCAATTTCGAATTCGTTAAAACTTCTTCTTTATTTTTATTCGTCTATTCTCTTGTACTTTCTTGTACTTTTGCTATAAAATACATGTTTTTCTTCCAAAAAAAGCTCGCTGTAACAAAGACAAATGCATTTTGAATTGCAGGGAAGAAGAGGATAATTTGTTATAGCCTCATTTATATTTTTACATACAGTCGTCGTCGTTCATTTCAATACAATGAAAACGACTTTCTTTTTATTTAATTGACTTTTACCAAGCTTTCAAACAGCAGAAACAATTAAACATTTAAACAAAGAAATTTTGTCAATTAACAGCTTCTCTTTTTTTTACTTGTAAAGTTGTAAACGTATGTAATCAGTAATTTTAAAATTGATTGTTACGGATCAAAGTATTATTAATAAAAAGTCGTCTTCATTGTATTGAAATAATCGCCGACCACTGTAGATTATTTATCATTGTGCTTATGCTACAAAAATCAAGTAAACTACGTTAGATCCCTTCATATTTTCAATATTTGCCCTGGATTCTGAACTGATAAGACGACTTTCAAATGATTCCGGACTATTTATTTTTGAACAGAATGAAAAGTTCCATGTTATGTCGGCTCAAGCTCTCGACTACTAGTCTATTCAGGGGCAAATTCGTCAACGGAGGCTTAACCTATTTTAACATTCCGTGTGTTTGTGTAAAAGTCCTTTTATGCGAAAATTGTATGCAAAAATTTACTGAACCTGAACCTAAACCTGAAAGAACATCGTAGTTATTTATCTTGCAGAAATGGTACAGCAATGACCTATACAGGGTCACCCACAAAGGATGAGCCTGTAAAGACGATATGAAACTTATGTAAATTGACAATATAAAAGTTAAATTAAGTAGTCGTGTCTTAAATACAGTCATTAAATGGCTATGTCTGATCGTGTAAGAAATTGCCAATATTAAACACTTTTCCAGTCCGGAAAATGATGACATCTTCCACGTTATAGACCATGTAATCGTTTAACAGGGAACCGTTGTGAATCAACCATATCCCACATTCCGTAAAGTTACAGCTTCTGTTTCTTATCATTTGCGGATTCATCCAAATTTCTCTAAGATATAAACAATAATTATTCTGTCCAAAAGTGGAGACATAATTTTATTTTTTACTTTAATAATGAGAATAATAAATATCATTATTCCATGCACCACTTCATAAAAAATAGGAACAATTAATAGGTCCTTTGTTTGTCTGTCCGTTTTTATCTAATAAACGTCAAAACGGCTGAAACGATTGGGCCCAAATGTGTCCGGGATTTAACATGATCCCAAGCAGGCGCGTACACAGGATTTAAGCCAGGGGGGGCAAGATTTCGCGCGAAGCGCGAAAAAAAATTTTTTGCCCCCCCTGGAATTGTTTTGTTCAAAAAGTCAATTACCACCATAAAAATACACCAAAAGACTACATTTTTGGGTGTTGCTAACCTTATAGAGTCTAAAATTCATACTAAATGTATTCCTTTGCTCGAAAAACTAACTTTAACTTTTTAATTTTATAAATTTAGAAATTTATCACTTAACTCCATCACAGCTAACTAAATCAATAATCACAGCATCATTAAAAAATCATATTTTCACTAATAAACGAAATTTCTTCTGAAATTTGTAGATAGAATTTTACTCCATCTACATATTCATAAACTCTTTTAAGCTTCAATTTTCTTGGATTTGCTTGCACAAACATTTCAATAATTTTCTCAGAAGTGAATAAGTGCAAGATCGTTAGGTCTGCTCTCCGTCAAAGTACATCTTGTGTAATGAAGTATTCTCTTTAGAAGGCTCAGAATTACTAAAGGTTGTTTAAAAAAAACGTTTGATTTTAGAAAAAATTTTAAAATCCACGAAAAATATATAATATTTCGCGAATTTTTTTGTTATTGTTTTATATTGTACAAAGAGAAGATGCTCACAGTCACTGATAGAGGAGATAGTCACGATTAAACGTTGTAATACTGTAATAACCAGAAACCTCTGAAATAGGAAAATGACTTTCAGATTCGAGTTAGACCTTTTTAAAAAACCAACGAGCATGGGACACAGCATTTGTGCAGTTTGAAGAAACCCATTTAACTTGATTAATGATTTAATGGGTGTCCATTATTTAAAACTATTTGCTTTGTAACAACACCAAATACACTCAAGTATTGTTCTAATGTCGTCTTCCTGTTGCATTTTTTTCTGGTTTTGACTGTAGTAAAGTCTGATCAAGTCTATTAACACGACTGACGACAGTTTTGAAATTTTGAACGTTCACAGCATTTGTGTGTCGTTCTAAACCCTCAAAAACGAAGCAAGCTACAGGTTGTCCCACAAAACATGAAGACTTCTGAAGGTCGTCTTTGATCTCTGAAATAGTTTACTGGTTTTATTCGTAAATCCAAAGTTAGAAGTAAATTCTAGAGGTATTAATCACAAAATACGCTTAGCATTTCCAAAATGTGGTCTGCTTTTTTGTCATTTCAATATTACCCGAGATATGAAGAATTTCATTCTGATTTCGCTTATATTGGTTTTATTTAGTAAAATTGAAGTCTGAACCAAATTCTTAATATCTCCGGTAACAGCACGAAAATGGCAGACCACATTTTGAAAATTCACGGCCATGGAGAATTTTGTAGTTATTGCTTTAAGCATCATACATATGAAAGTAGGTTGACACTGAATGTCACAAATAAATTCAAAGATCAAGGAAAACTTTCAACTTATCAAGTCATCTTAGTCATCTTGCTACCGTCAGGTCACTGTGGGTCCCATCACATACCCTCGTGTAACGTCAAAGTGACTATTCCCCTTTTTTGACAAATAACAAAAGTATCTATTTCCAATAACCCAACAATTAATAATTTTAAAGAAGTTTTTTTTTCAAATTTATTATTAAATCTTAGATTTGACAGTCACTATATTAATAATAATATTATAATCATTCGTACAATATTCCATTCAAAACATTGTCAATTCAATTTTCAAAAATATCTAAACACTAAAACCATGAACGCGTACATACCGCGGCAAAGCGCCAAGATGGCCGCCTTGTCGGCTTAAACCTTTTTTGAAAACGTTAGAAATGTTAAGAATCCGTACACAGCGCAAATAAATAATAATATAGCGGAAAAACGTCTGAAAATCAGAAAGGAATCAAATAAAAAAAATATCAAAGAATCGTTTGTACAAAAAGTCATGTAGGCAAAACTAAAATGAAATAAATGGACGGGATTATAATAATAACCACAACTTTAACTGACTAGCTTTTTAGAAACAGATTTGAAACTAAGAAAACGGAGAAATGAGGTCTAGGATCAACATGAATCCGAGCCAAAGGGATTTGAAGTATTTTAAAAACGATCTAATAAACTCCTTTAGTTCTCTATATTTACAAATAATGAATTCAGGTCTAAACTCGAATAATTAAAACTATTATTATGAAGCACACGCCCCTGGTCAGCCAACCTTAATATTTGCAGTTTAAAAAGAATCGAGGATAGACAAGAAAGTCGTCTTCCGCTCCAAATAATAAATGCAAATCAACGCGCGCAAAATTAATCTGAAATTTTTCTTCCGCGCCAACGCTGTTGAAGCAACGAAATGAAAAACAGAAGCGTGGCGCGCAACAATAATTTCAGTACAATGCCCCAATGTGTGTTGGCATCGTTTTCTTTCAAGAAAATGGCAGAAAATTAAAGAATGGGACAAGAGCCTTAGCTCCATTAATCAACAGTGATCGAGGCGAGAGATTAGATCAATTCTAATAAACATTCCATCAGATATAAAGAGTAAAGCATGTCTATCGATCCAACAAGAGAACTTGAGAATAATCTTTGATCGATTTAAAACAATTCAGTTTGATCGGATTGATTTCAGACTTTTGCCACAATATGTATAAGATCATAAATTACATAAATTATTTCCAGTTAAAAATTGAAAATACGACAGAGCAAGAGCCTTAGTGGAAGTGCCGAAAGTCCAAATTTGAAGGTGACTTCGTCACTAAAATGATCGGCCAATAGTTATCGATCAAGTAGACTGGTTTCAAATCGTCAAAGACGAATCGTCGACTTAAGTCTTGATTTGATCAATCTATTGTACATGTCTTTGACACGTCCAAGAGCATGCTTAGATCCTTGAATTATCTGATCAGACCAGACAAGCTAGAGATCGTCAATTAGCCTATTCGTCGGGCACTGTGCTGAGCTACTTCTCTTCTTACTGAACTTGGCACTAGTAAACATATATATGAATGATAAATGTTTTATCATCGGTGTCTTTAAAAAGCAGCAAATTGATTGCTCTTGAGGGGGGTTCCCGTCCCACGGTAGGGAGGTCGTCAGACGATCTCGGGAAAGAGATACGGTCGGGATACAGGAGGATCTATCTGGCGGGTTCTTATCAGGGACATGATTTGGAGGTAAATGGAGGATGGGAATCTGAGAATAAATAATCCGATTTAGACCAGATTATATTCCTTTAAGTTTAACTGGAGAATTGTATCCTTGACTGCTGCGAACACAAATCTTATATTCTCAGTATCTGAAATAAAAATAATATTAATTTATGAATTTTTGGACAAGTCATCGGGACATAATAGCAAGATACACATTATCTAACCCCCCCCCCTCCCCCCTATTTTGAGGTGAAATAATATCAAAAAGTTTAAAAACATGATTTAAATGAAACATATACCCTTGTCAAATTAGTATCATATTTTGATGCCAAACTAGAACTACAAACCAAACAAATTACAGGGGACATTAGTTCCAAAACTAACGACCGGGGTTTTGGGATCCCGGCCCATATCCAGAGTAAAAGTCGAAAGTAAAAACTATAACCAACATTTTAATAAACATGACGAGGACAACAATTCCCAATTTTAAACTTTTTTATATCAAAGTTATAATAAGAGTTCTTTTATTTATAATCTCTTGATCGTTTTCAAGACAATGTCAGGTTTTCCATTTTCGAATTTGAAACATTGTCGCGTTTTCGAGACAAAAACCCACTTTCCCGTTTTCTAACACAAAACCCACATGGCCCATTTCTAACACTCAGTGTTAGAAATGGGCCAAATGTTAGTTTTGGAACTAATATCCCCTGGAGTAGTAATTTTTAATGATTATAATAATAATTATTATCATTAACTTAAAAGTTATTATAAAAATGTAAACAAGCTATATAGTACATACATAGCTATAAATAGTACAAACATTTTAAATATTTTTAAAAAAGACAAAAAGGAACTCAGTACATTTGGGCACAAGTTTTTTCAATAATATTTTATCTATCTACAAAAAAAATTAAACATGATTTTCTTTATTTCTGCCAATACTTAATTAACAGAGTATACTTAAAACTAACTAATTAACTAAACAAATGATTAATTTTTACGGAATATACTTTTAATTGAATGTTAAATTATCTTCGTATTGTTCAGTTTCAATGATAATCTTAACCAACAAATAAAAACTTTCCGTGCAAACCATTTCTGTCCACTTAAAACTAACTAATTAACTAATGGTTGAACTCTTTCATAACTTGTTTTTTATAATAGAATGTTAAATTATTTTAGTAAGCGGGATGTAACAATTGATATATAAAGAATTTTAATCCTACCAACCCAGCTCTAACGATAATCTTAACCCACAAAAAAGACTTTACGTTTTGACCATTTCTGTCAACTTTATATACTTAAAACTAAATAAATAACGAAAATATAACGAAAGGACAGAAAACTCTTATAATTAATTTTTACGTAATTTACTTAGTAACGTTAGCAAGCATGAAGGATTTAACCTACCTTCAGTTTCAATGATAATCTTAACCAACACAAAAAGACTTCAATCAAAACATTTTAAGAATTTGCTTTCAAATTCAATATTTAAATTCAGTGTAGTTTTGAGCAGTAGAATAAAAAGTTGATTTTTGTATTTTTCGTTTGTTTTAAGAAGTATCTTGTGGTATTTTCTCGCCCAAATTACTGAATTATTTAAACGATCTCGTTAAGAATATCAAGACAAGAATTTCATATTCACAAGCAATAGCTTTTTTTTTAACATCCATGTACCGTTGGGCCCAGAAATCTGTAGAATAGGAAGACGACTTTTCAAGTTATGATTATTATCAGTCCAATAAATCAAAAACACCGTAATTGTACAGTGTAATGTACAAAGACCCATTTGATATTTCACTTGATTTAAGAGCTTTTGCTAACCTTGTTGCTTTTTCTAATACATACTATTGCAACAAAGTCGTCTTCCTATTCCACAGTTGCTTTCTAACAACATCAAATACACACAAAATTTCATAAATGACGGTATTTTTAAACAAACATACTACTTAAATAAATCGAGACAATACTCATAACTTTTAGACTTACTATTGATAAAAAGGCCTGTTATCAAATTAACTATTAAAACAATACGCAACAATTTTTATAAACCAGAAATTACCAGAAACAAAATATTTACTGTAACTATTTCTAAACTCTATGTTTATTGTTTACGCGTTAAACCTAGATATTTCTGACTACTATCCTAACCTACATATTTCTGAATACTAACTTACATATCGCATGTTTGCGTTAACATTTAACCCATGCCAAACTCTTTTAAAGCAGTCTGCATGATCGTATCCTTTACAGCGCAGAACACCAGCTTTATATTTTCAGTATCTGCATGCCGAAACATTCAACCAGCATGCATCATGTAGACAAATCCAGATCCAGCATGCAAATGAAACAAAAAAAGCATGTTAGTAATATAAAATGGCGTAGCTAACCTGTTGCACAAGTAAAATGTGAGTATATTATCTTCTCTGTGTCTGGGTTTAGGTCTACGAACATACGAAGGATATGCTCTCGAGCATGTATGGCGTCACGCTGCGGACCTAGATACAATATCTAACTAGTATTTAATCTACAATAACGAGAAACTTGTCAAACAAAGTTTGCGGCATTTCGAACATATTCAAAATCCACTGCAGATTCGTAATTCGTAAAATGAACCGATAAATATATTGGCAGAGAAGGCCTTTTTGAAGGATTAACATTGAAAAACTTCAAGGAGAAAGTTTTACTTGATGTTTTGTTTGGAAGCTTAAAGTAAGAATAAAATATAAAAGTAAGAAAAAGAAGAAAATCGTAAATGTCAACAATTAAAAAAAATATCTTGAAAGTGACTTTGATAAAGAAATTGGCAAAACTTGGCCTGAAAAAAATTCCATTAAATTATCCTTTATATTCCACTGGTCATTGTCCGTTGACTGTACAATGTACACTGTACACTGTACACTGTACACTGTACATTGTTATATGTACATTGTACAATCGACAGTGTAATTTAAATTACATTTTAAGAGCATGTTTGACAATTGATATCGATTAGTCCTATATTCAAAATTATGTGTATATCAATTTAAAATCCGACAGTAAATATTTAAAATACGATAAACATGAAACACTAAATTTCAAATTTTTGTTCAATACTGGTTTCTCATAAACCTTCCTGCAAAAATTATAAATGCAGAAATTGCTTTAATGACGTTATTAGCAGGCGTATATTGACTAAATTTAGCACGTTTTAAAAAAGATGCAAAAATAATATTGTGTAATCGGACTACAATAGATTAAGTACAAAAGCATTATCATCGAGCTTTTGGAGAATTATAATTAGATCAAATTTATTGACTAATTTACATTTTTCAAAAAGGTTTATCCAAAATGACATTTGCCCATACGTCACTTCAGGAGAATTTTAAGAGATTATGAGAGTACATTGAGAGTACAAGCGCTATGGATAGGACATATTAGAAGTTTCCACTTGTATATACTAGGAATTTACACTATTTTATATACGTACTTCTTTCTACGATGAAAATCTACTTCTATATACACTTTGCTTGTCTGTTTGTTTGTTTGTATCCAATAAACGTCATAACGGCTGAACCAATCGGTCCCACATTTTGTGTGGGACCTCACATGACCTCCAGAAAGGTTTATTAATGGTCAAAATTTTAAAAATTAAAATCCAACAAAATTCGATTCGTCATTAAATTTTGAAAATCCACGAGTTTTTTTTTATAAAATCCGCGAACTTTTTTGTTAGTTTTTATTTTAAAATGTATACAAAGAGAAAATGTTCACAATTGAAATAGAAGATGCGCCCTGTAAGCCTAGTATAATAAATTTCAGTAGAACAAAAATATCAAAACCATATAAGATCAGACGTTCCGAGAAATGGGGGTAAAATTTACTATAAAACCTTTTTTTTGCAATTAACAAATAACGCGGAATAGATTTGTTTAATTTGCAACTCAGGGCCCACTTAGGACAAGAAAATAAGGAGTTAAAATATCTTGAGTTTTAAAAATAAGTCAAGTTTGGATTCTCATATTTTGTTGTTGTTTCATTTGGAAAAGAGTTAGTTTATAGTTCTACTTGCTAAGTACAGTTTTTAGCTAGACTATTTGACCTGTAGCAACAGTAAAGTGAGAATAACACATTCTGTCTGGATCAGGGTTGGCATTTAGATAAATTTTACAGATAAAATCTCTAGCACTCTTGTGGTCTTGCTGGGGACCTAGAGACTTGAGTAGTAAACTTACAGATACGCTAAAACCAAAAAGTTCTATACTCTGCGAGTTAAATAAATGTTTGCATAGATATATCTAGCTTGTCTGTCTCTTTTTTCCTGTCCAATAAACGTCAAAAAGGCTAAACTGATGGAGGAAACATTAATGGCCGATCGAATTCAAAACCATCAAACTTTGTGAAATTTTGAAAAATGCACTAATGTAAACAGCAAAAATCTGCAAAGTATCAAAATGTAACATTTTCAATGTAAACTAGAAAAAGTTGTTGAAATTAAAGTGACATAAGTTATCGCAAAGTGGAGGCGCAGAGCGCCCTATAAGGCCAATATCAAATGCCAGATATTTAAACCAGAAATATTTGCTTATAAGACATCTCAAACAGGATGAAATAGTTCACCGTAAACTTTTAACTAGATGGAGTTGATCACCAGATACTTAAAACCAAATACTTTCACCCAGATAGATTTGCTACCAGATACATTAAACCAGATATAATTATTTACCAGATACTTCAAACAAACCAGATGGAATTGCTGACCAGATATTTTTAACTCTTTCAAATTGCTAAGCAGAAATTTTAAACCAGATAAAATTGCTTGACAGATACTTTAACTCAAAAAAAGACTCAATTACCATTGAAGCAGATTGAATTGTTTACCAGTGCAGATACTTATGACCAGATTAAATTGTTTACCAGATACTTTACACCAGATTAACTTTGCTTAAAAAATACTCGAGTTCAACTGAAATTGGTTACCAGATATTTTAAACCAGATACTTTGTGTGAACCAGATGGAATTGCTTACCAGATACTAAAAACCAGATAGAACTGCTACCAGAACCAGATAGAATTATTTAAGAAATGAAATCGTTAGTCAATTTCTCCAAATATTAAATATATCAAATGGAATTTTCATTAAAACGTTGTTATTTGATCATTATAAAATTGTTTTACGCAATATTGTGATTATTACCATCATATTCCGGAAAGTAGTCTACAAGATGAGAATACATAATCTTCTCCTCTAATAAATCTTTCTTGTTCAAGAATAGAATAACGGAGCTATGCTGAAACCAAGGGTAGGTGATGATTGTTTTAAACAATGCTTTGGATTCCTCCATACGATTCTAAAATAATAAATATGTTTCACAAATATGTTAATACAATGTACAGTGGTCGGTGATTATATTAATACAATGAAGACGACTTTTTGATTTAAGTTTTGATTATTAACAAGCTTTTTTCGAATTAAAAGTTTGCAAACAATCAAAAAGAAGCTTTTTAATTGACAGCTTCTCTTTGTTTCCATGTTTATGTGTATCCATGCTGTTTAAAAGCTTGATATAAATCAAATTGAAATCGAAAGTAGTCTTCATTCAAAACTACGTTCCTCGTCAAACAAAACAAACAATTCATTAGGCATTAAGATAAAAAACAATTTTTTGAGGCAAATATTCTCTTTTTTAACTGATTAAATTAAAATAAACGAAATATTTTTAAAAACTTGTTTTGCGAAGAATTTTTTTTTTAATTTTTTCTTTTTCAGATCTTCAAATATCATTTCCCCAAATATACACCCCTGCCGAAATAAGTAATAGTGTCCGAAATTTAATGAATTTGAGCCGTGTCTCAAATCCGCCAAAAACCGGTTTCAATTGAGCACCGGCTTAAATCTTGAAACATTGAATACAATTATAAGTGGAGCCAACCATAATTGAGCCGCGTCTCAAATTTAACCCAAAGCTCAAATTCTTTAAATTCGGCCTCTGGTTTATCAAATAAAAAAGGTTGATAATTGCAAAGATTATCTACACTTTTCAAACCAATGTGTAAAAATATTAATTTAACAGCACTTCAATTCTTTTTTTGTCCGGTTGTTTTTCAAAGATAAAAAATGAGTTTGAAAAATCCTGATTGCGATTTTTTGTTTGGTTTAATCTAGCTTACCTCGTTGTCTGACTCGAAAAGAATTTGATCGTACTCCGAGAGCGCTACAAGGAAGATTATGGACGTTACATTCTCGAAGCAGTGAATCCATTTACGCCGCTCCGACCTCTGCCCCCCAACATCAACCATCCTAAACGTAAACAAACAATGAAAACAAGTAAAAACTGGTTTCTGACATCTTGTCAAAGGGTTACCCACAACGGATAAGACTTCAGAGACGACTGTACAGAATTTATTCAGTTACTTTTCTTACACTCAGGGTTCTCTGTAGCCGTTAACTTGTTAATTCGTTTTGCCGAATTATTAGAGATCCCTTTTTTAAGGCATATGACAAAATCTGGCATTTTTAAAGTTATGTACTAAGATTATCATGACATCATTAAAGTATCCTTTTGTGGGTAACCATGTAACTTGGTTGTAACTTAGTTTGAAGACCATAGATACATGGATTTCAGGCTACAAATTTAGTGATAAATGAATAAAAATTAGGTCGGCTTGTTAAAACGTTAAAAATGAAGTATGTATTCACAAACGAGGTAAATAAGGTTGAACACAAATAAATCACTTAAGGATTTTTAAAACGCTACTTTTTAAAAACTACTTTCACCTTCTCCTGGAACCCGAAAATCTACCAATGCTATCAACTATTATAATTATCTCGACAGCAATTCTTTCTTAAGAGAATTTACCGTGACTGAAGGATTTTAACAACTAAATTACACTACTATTACGCTTTCTCGTTAAGAAAAATTGGTTGTCTTTATAATAACACCACTTTCTACAGTAGGGTGTGTAGCGATGATATGACATCAACTACAGTCTACAGTGCAAGTTATGTACTCCAAGTACTCCACACTGTGCCTGAAAACGATCCCGTCCAGGTCGAAGGGATACTCAATGATGCCGGTGGTGGGGACCCTGGACCTGAGAATATCCTGCTCAGTTGGCAAATATTCAACATCACAGATTCTTTCCAGATCGTCAAGGAAACTAGAAGTAGAACCAACCAGTTAAATCTAAGGTTAAACCTTTTCGTGGATGGCGCTGACTACATTGACAGATCTAGATATCAACAATATCATCTTTTAAATTGAAGAATTTAAGATTTATTTCTGGGCTATACTTGATATATCCTTTACAAAGTCAAAAAAGGGTGGTTGACGGTTGTGATTGTGTCCGATGACTCGATTCTATCCACCAAGTAGAGGTGAATCGACTAGCCAGTAATAAAAGCATAAAGAAGACAATAAGACTTTAAATATGTTTTGGTCTTTGGATAACACAATAACACTATAAATTGATATTTAAAAAAAAATATCAGAAAGCCTCGTAATTCAAGTATCAAACAAGTCTCAGCTTTATAAATTGAGACGGTTATGCAGTATATCAATGTATATTTTCAAAACTTAGTAACAAAAATTGAATCCTACCAGGAAATGAATAGTTAAAAGTATTGAAAGAGTTAGAGAAGGAAACCAATAATATTCCCATTCTTATCTTTTTATTACATCATCAATAATAGCAGGAAATAAGAGAATTGGCAACGACTCCTCTTTTGCAAATTTCCCTGAATAATCACCCCCCCCCCCCTTCTTCTTAAACAATATTTTTTTTATCCATTATAAATAAATGAATAAATAAAACAGTCACCCATCAATCCGAAGAGAGGGAAACGCACTACCTCCAAAGGAAGTAGCTGAGTATCATTGGTGGTTGGCCACACTGGACCAAAGTGTGGACCACCAAGCATGGGCCAAGTTCAATGGAGTACTGCCACAAAACAAGCTCACACTTACCACATGCATGAAAATCCTGTCTGTACCTTCATGAATATCAATGTAGCTGAATAATGAATATTCCAAAAAAAAAATTATTTTGAAAAACATCGTTAAGGAATTGCATTTGAAGTGTACAGTGGAAAAATACAAAGTATTCAACAATTTTATCCAGTCCCCCCCCCCCTCCCCATCCCCGTGTAAAAAGTTTTTGATATATATCTCAGATTTATCTCTCTTTCATTCGACCATTTTATGAAGCAAAGTTTTAGAAGGTGAAAACAAATCTTTTGAAAAAAAAATTGAATTTCAAAATGTCATATGACCATCAGGTTGAAAATTGGTCGAAAAGTTAAGTATTTATTTATACAGAAGAATAAATTTGAATAAATATTCATTTGACCTTGATTTATGAGAATTAACGATGTAAATTATGACTTCCTTTATCAATTTTGATCTCAGTAAGTTTAAATATATTTTTGAGAAGGTCAATTCACTGCAGAAGAGGAAGTGAAAAAAAACGCTTGAGATAAAACTTGGACATTTTATTCTAACGTTTTTGATTATTTTTGTTGGATAAAAATTGTTTTTTTTTACTTAAACAAAAAATAAAAGAGGTGGGATTTTCAATCGATTTATCAATTTACTAATTGAACCTAGTTAAGTTGACAAAATTTTCCTTTAATTTTTTAAATCAAGGGCAAGTAAATTAAACATAATTTATCTCGAAGGTAACTAATTTTGAATATACAATACATACTGTGAAATATCTAAATTACTAAATTACTGCGGATTGTCATTTCTAATTTACACGCTAAAATCGAGTAAAAATAAGTAATTACCAATGGAAATGTTTGCTCTTTATTTAAGTCATTTTTACCTATGTCACTTTACTATCGTTTAATTTATCAATTAACATATTCATTTCCATTTTTTTCATTGAGAAATTCTGATCCATTTCTTATAAGTTGGTATCTGAAAGTGGAATCCTGGATGTAAATCAAATCTTTTTTTAAAATTTTAAAGACAGTTACAAAAACAAGATAACCTCCTTTGTCACAACAAAATTCTAAAATGTAATGCCTAGGCACTCATAATGTTGGTGGAGAATGTCTGCAGCCACAACTTATGGTTCCTTAGTTCAGAAATATGACCTGGAACAAGAAGGTCGTCTTTGATCAGCAGCTAGTTGATGTCTTTACTCAAGTTGGACGCATTCGACCATATGCAGGAAAATGATAGTTTAATTTAAACCTTAAAGGGACTAAAAGCGTAATTTAAAGTGACCCTCCAAGTAACCACAATTAAAAACAATCGGGTTTTAAAATTAAAGACTTACTTTAAGCTTTGAAATTAATTATTTCATAAGAGATTACGATTCTTCTTCGTTTCTCTAATTTCCGGATGTTTAACAAACCTGGTTGAAGGTTAAGGTTTGTGTTAAGCTGAAAGCTGAAGAATGAGTTTAACTCGTTGGAAACAAGTTTAACTCGGTCCCAGTCTCCAGGTGGTGAAGCGCATTGAGCTGGGAACATTGTGCGTAGTGGAAGGAGAGTATTAATTTCTTTACAGTAACCAGCTTTATCTAGGAGGTACTTTTTTGGCCAACCATATCACCTTCAGTCATGGAAACGTTTACTAATAAATTAATATCTACAAAACCTACCAATCTCTCGTACAAAGATTGTAGACGATATTCTGCGACGAAATCTTCTCAACCTTTCTCTAAGCTGACAAACCTACACCAGAAACTCAACGCTCTTATAGCTTCGTACACTTTAACCCCCTGGATTTGTAATCCTCTATGACACTGGCTTGTTTACCTGAATCTGATCTCCTCTAGGTCGAATGGGTACTCAATGATTCCTGTTGTAGGAACCCTAACTCTGAGGATATCCTGCTGAGTTGGAAGATAACCAGGTTCTGCTACTCTGTCTATATCCGTCAGATAACTAAATAGGTTTATATACTCTAACTACTCGTATACAACTACTAGTTTCATGGTAGAGGGGTATACATTTTTCAGAGAGGGACGGGGGGATTGCATCAGGAGTATATATTTTCAAGAAAATGAAAAACTAAAATATTGGACATCAAAAGACAAGTTTTTATTATTACTTATTCCCCCCCCCCCCCTAAATTTAGTTTATTTTCCCTAATTCAGATAATAAAGCCCTGCAAACAATATTTTCGCTCCATTTCGCTTTTTCGTAAAAATTACAAAAAGGGGGGGGGGGGGACTTGCGAATAGGTGACAAATTTTCATCCCCATGTTTCAAAATATCTTCTTCAAATGTATACCCCTTTTATTACCAACGATCGAAATAGGTTAAATCAGCCTAATACTGTCTTTACTATTTTTTTCCGAAAAAACATTAGTAAACGGATTTTGTGTACATCGATATCGTCAATTTTTAATCCATTTATTTTTTGTTAATAAAAATTTAATTTTCATAGCCTTACCCCGTATTGTATATTGCAAATTGAAAAATATGAAATCAGAGCTAAAAATTTCAAAGCGTATGAGCTACATATAATCAACCTTGTCCTTCACCCGCTTAGAACAATTGAAAATTAAAATTTTGTTTGAAAACTATTCTAAAATTCGAATTGTTTACGTGATTATTACCTAATTTATATACAACTATCTACAGTTTACTTTCGAGTAAAGAAAAAGAGGACTTTGAATATAAAAAAGCTTTTAATCATTTAATGTATAGTTAGTAAGCGTGAAACATATATATGAAACACTAATACAGTAGTAAATACTGCTGTGTTTTACTCATAAGCAGCATTTACAAAAAGCATTTTCCGATAAAATCGAAACTGACCATCGCAAATGGCTATTTGTGGCCAAAAAAGCCGGTTATACAAGTGATATTTAATTTTTTCAAAATATGTCGATATGGGTATCAAAAGCCTAATTCAACGCAGCAAACGCTTTGTAAAAATATTCGAAAACATGCGATCTAAAGGCATTAAAGTGGAAAAAATTAAGGAAATCACAAATTCGGCCGTTTTCCCTAGTTTTTCAGCTCCAACTTGACTATTTTTCATTATTTTGTAAACGCTTTTTTCCCGTTGAATTTGGCTTGGAAAGGCGGATAAAGATGTTCATATCGACGTATTTTGAGGAGAGAAAAAAAACACTCTTACCTGCGTTTTTTTATCACAAAAGGCCATTTGCGATGATAAATTTTAATTTTAGCGAAAAATTCCTTTTGTAAATGTTTCTTTGAATTAAAAAATACATTAGTGTTTACTACTTGGAATTGATTCCTCTCAAATTTGTGAAAAATCTTTCACCCTTGTTAGTTAGGTTTTTTTTAACAAAAAATTATCCCTGAATTAAATAAGTATCTAGGTATCATTAGGGGAGAAATACATTATTAACGAGTTCAGCGCAGCAAAGACAAGGAAGAATAAGGTAATAATATATCCCAAACAAGAAATTATCCATTTTAGCCATCTCACCTCAAGTATGTTGCAAAAGAGAAATATTATAATTCAATGATGATTTTTTATAATGTCAATTCAAAGTATACCATTAATACTTATGTATGAATATAACCAATTGATAACCCCCCCCCCCTCCCCCTGTTTAGCAAAAAATTCTAGAAACATGACCAGGCAGGTGCTAGCTCCATTTTCTTGGATTGATGGAAAACGAAAATAATTTTTTTTTTTAAATTATAATTTCCCATTTATCTCCTTCATTTTAAAACAGAAAAATTAAAATACAAAATACATTTTGGGAAATTCGGATTGAGGGAATTTCAAGAATCTGTTAACAATTTTTCCATGATATTAACAACATTAAAACCCATAACCTTTGCAAAGTAATAAATGATTTACCAATCCAAGAAAATTCATAGTAATAAATTTTACTTAAAACTGACTTAGTTTTTTAATAAAATGCTTTTGAAATAGAAATATGCACAATTGCACATACAGCAAATTTGTAGGTTAAGCAAGTATTTTTTGTTGCAAACATGTTTTTTTTCCATTAAATAACTTTACAAGATACTTACTACTTGGCTGAATCTGTGAGTTGATATTCTCTTCTTCGTCCGTAACAGTCCTGAGTAGAAAAAATTACAAAATTTATCATTATTCCCGGATTTTTTCGTTCACAACAATTTTTCCAACTCCGGAACCAAGTCGTCCCAATAATATTTATTATGACAATAAAGTAAATATACAATTTTTTATCTTTTTGTCTTTTTGTAAAAAAAAAGTTTCGGAGAAGGTATACAGAAAAGGTTAATATTAAAGATTTAAAAACTATTTGCACAGAGGTCAGAAAACGTCATTAATTGCATGGCGTCCATCTTGCAATAATTTTTATGTACATTGTAATAATTACATCAAAAGACATGAAATCTGCCACAAAAAAGTATCTTTTCTCATTAAATCTGCCACAATATCTTTAAGATAATCCCCTGGCGTACTAATTCGCAATTTTGTTTTCTTCAGAATAATATTGATCACCTGAATGCCATTATCCGCCCAGAGTTCTTTAATTGCCTCGACATACGGAGACTCAAACGCCGTCACCGTCTCGTAATCTATACTTCGAACCAGGTCCGCTTTCTCCTACATAATCAATTATACAATCAACAAATCAATAATGAAGAAATGGTATGGGGTCTAAAAGCCACCCCAGTTACCCAGTTTGGGATACCAAGACCGCCAACGGGGTTAAGCACACAAGCATAAATAGTTATTTTTAAGAAAATTCAGATTCCAAAAAATTTCATTTTTAACATTAAATTATTTTTAAGATTTATAACGGGACCTTAATTTCTTTAAGTTCCCATGAAAATAAAAAATGTACTTTTTTTGATTAACTTATTAAGTATTAAGAAAGTATTATGTATCAAATCAATTTGTCAAAAATACTCTAATTCGTCGCTTTAAAAAACAAGACTCTTCCTTATTATATGTTTGCTTTGTGTTTTAGTATGTTTTTTGTAACTTACCGCACAGTTTGGGTTCTGATACTGTATCTTAAGAAGCTCCATAGCTCTGATCATTGACTGCATGGCCATGAAGATATTTTGAAACACGAGTTTAATATAGGACTTCTTGTCTTCATCTGAATAACCAGCTCCATGAATAATCCTCATCTGTTTGATAAATGTGGATTTCCCAGACTCTCCCGTTCCTAGGAAACAAAAATACAATTAGATAGTGTTATTAATCGGTTTATTTAAATATTAACAAAATTTCCAAAAATTTCAAAATGGTCCTAGGTTAAGTTAGCTTTTATCCAACTAAGCAATATTTTTATTCTAAAAAATCGATCCCGAAGCGATAGTTATAATGCAAGTTGGTTTTCGGATCGTTTATTGACTGTCAAGGTCAAAATTTGGTCTACTGTAAAAACAGCAAATTCGAAAACGATTCCTTTTCTTACACTATGCCAAATTTTGACCCTAAAAGAAAATATAGCCAATACACGAACCAACCTAATACAAATTATTTCAATTAGATCCTAGATTTGTACAAAAATATTCTTTTGTGATAATTTTAAAGGATGATAAAATATTCAATCAAAATTAAAAAGAGGGCAAAATCTTTAGAATGTAAAAACTGTGACGGTACATGGGGCTTGACAGTTTAACCTTAAAAAATACCATGTTTTACATTTCAATTTATAGCTTCTACTTCCATCCAAAAAGAATTTCAAGGAATAGACTTAAAAATGATAAATATTATATTTCTATTCAAACATATAACATATATCAAACATTTAACAAATATTTGAACTATGATTATATTTCGAATGCATAGCTGCCTTATCAATCTTTTACAACCTAATAAGATTGACAAAACTGTGCTTTTCAGTAAAATACAAAAATAAAAAATTTAAAGACAAATTAAGAAAAAAAATTGACTAACATAATTGATAATTCCAGTGCTTAGGATCCGTATACGTTGGATCCGCAAGATTTTGGCTTCCTGGATCCGGATCCGCAACAATATACGGATCCACAGATCCGGATCCAAGGGGTAAAATATAAACCAAGGACTGAAAAAAAACTTATTTACTCGTAAAACCCAAATCTGAACTTTTGAGAAAAAGAAAGATTATAAAATTTTCCTCATTTCTGAATGGTTCATCAAGTTTTAGGATAAAATTAAGCGAAAAAAATAAAACAAAAAATTTGAATTTTTTGTCGTTTTATTTATCTCATGTAAAATTTTAACAAGTGTATAGAGGTGACCGGAGGGTTAAGCAATATTTGAAAAAATGTAAATTGATGATTGATTAAAGTTGATTTCTATGTGCATCTGAAGGCGAGCACCTTAAATGAGAGAAAAAATGTATGCAAGTGACTTAGATGTTTTAGTTTAAAGAAAATTGCGTTAACAAAATTCTGACGTTTGTTCCACAAAATTTTGGTAAGCTCTAAACGTAACCACAAACAAAATGAATTTCAGTTTAGCCATAAAGACAAACATACAGCAAAGTACGGCTGAACCAATTTAAAAGAAACCCCAGTTTAAATTGATAAAAAAGGTACAAAAATTCGTAAGCCAAACATGATAGAGATAAGAGGCAAGGTCATAAGTAAAGTTTTACTAGATCGAAATATCAAGAATAAAATAATGGTATTAAAACTTGGAGAGCAAATCTTTATTGGACTGGAGAAAAGCACGACTATTTCAATATTACCCTAACCTAACTTGAGGGGACAGTGTAATACATTCTCAAAAAAAATCTTAATTTCCCCTTTTTGAAACTGGAGAGACACAAATTGAAACATCTTAATGAGAGATTCCATTTTAGAATGAGAAATAAAATAAAGGAAAAATTAAGATTAAAAATGAAAGCGAGTTAAGCGAGTCAGAGAGAAACAGTAACAAAGTTCATGTGGGGAAAAGAAGAAAGTTTTGAAAGGTAATTTAGGCTCTGTCCTAGTAGAAGTAACATTGAACCAAGATGTCTTTGGATAAAAATATCTGAATAAAATGAAAATATTCGAAAAGTCTACGAGTAAGCTTAAGTGAGTTACGCAGCTATCAGAATTAAATATACACATTCTAGAACATAGAATACGCTTTCTAGAACACCGAATACTCACCTAATAATAGAAGTTTCAACTCCCTTCGGGCATCTCTTTTATCTTTACGTAATTGTCTTTCAATTTCAGCATTGATTCTTTTTTGTTCCTTCTGCTCCTCAGAAAGACAGCACGCCATGATGGATCAGTTCTATATTTCACTAGGTTAAACTTGAAAGCATGTTTGATCAAGACGAACGTATATCTCCGGGTTCAGCTCCGATATATCTCCGGGTAGGGGTTAGAGCTAGGCCGGAAGCATCAGAGCTCTGGTTTGTTTCACCTTTAAACCTCAACTAACTACATGGTTTCTTATCAAAGCCTATCCCAGGCAAGGGCATGGGAGTTTAAAGGCTTAGAAGCCATACATTCAATGTCTTACAAGTAAAAAATCGATACAAACTTGATTCACTGAGTAGTTCAGACAGAGAACAAAATGGGAGAAGTTTCAGACATGCGCAGAAGGTTTTAGTTTTGGGATTCAGGAGAGTAGAAACCTCGATAGCTGGGACCGAGGAGGTAGTAACTACTGGGACCGAGTACTTTAAAAAACATTTCATTGAACATATTTATTTAACAATTAAACTACATAATATAATAAGAACTAAACTTAATGTACTTCTAGAAACATCTAAAACAATTACTTTCAACTTCAAAATTAAAAACACATTGCAAGTAAATATTCATAAATAGTCCAATTCATACCAATTTCAATTTCTATAGGTTCATTAATTGTGTACAATTTATCAGAAATTTTACTTAAAGGGGGTTGATAATGAAATCTGCATGTATACCCAGAAATTTCCAAAAAGAGGACATAAAAGTACAAATTTGACAAATTTTTAACAAGTAATGTCCGATTGTCTATTCCCAAAACACCTTAATGTCTACCGTTATGTTCCCGAATAAAAATAAACAGAAAAATATTTTAATTGATAACGGTTAACACAAGTCAAAATTCAGTCATTTTAGCATATTTTCGGCAATAGTTTATTAGTAAGATTAACTCTTATTTTGATAAATATGCACAAAAAGGTAGGTTTTTGTATTTACTAAAATGAGCCCCTCCTTCAAGACTTGGATATTATTAATTCTACGACGACCTTTATTTTGCATGGATGTACTTTTCTAAAATAATCCATAAGTGCAAAAATAAAAAGCCAGCAATAAAAATCGAATTTATTTCAAATAATCATATGTATATGTATATGTATATGTATATGTATATGTATATGTATATGTATATGTATATATGTAAATGTATATGTATATGTATATGTATATGTGAATTAAAATTATGCCAAATTATCGTATATATGTATATGTATATGTATATGTATATGTATATGTATATGTATATGTATATGTATATGTATATGTATATGTATATGTATATGTATATGTATATGTATATGTATATGTATATGTATATGTATATGTATATGTATATGTATATGTATATGTATATGTATATGTATATGTATATGTATATGTATATGTATATGTATATGTATATGTATATGTATATGTATATGTATATGTATATGTATATGTATATGTATATGTATATGTATATGTATATGTATATGTATATGTATATGTATATGTATATGTATATGTATATGTATATGTATATGTATATGTATATGTATATGTATATGTATATGTATATGTATATGTATATGTATATGTATATGTATATGTATATGTATATGTATATGTATATGTATATGTATATGTATATGTATATGTATATGTATATGTATATGTATATGTATATGTATATGTATATGTATATGTATATGTATATGTATATGTATATGTATATGTATATGTNTCCATGATCTTATATGGCGGATTAGCTTTCCATGATCTTATATGGCGGATTAGCTTAATAATCATCGATCTTAAACTTCAACCCTCGAAACAGTCAACAATCGTCCTAAATATCAACACTTGTAGTTAAAATATCCTGATTAAATTCTATGATATTTAGATCCAGGCCCGTAACCAGGATTTTTCCAGGGGGGGGGTGCAACGAAGCGTGCCGCAGGCGAAAATTTTTTTTTTATAAAAACAATCCTTGGTTTTTTTTACGGTGGTATATGGTTTTCTTTATTACGTTGTCAATGTACGCTATAAAGACTGACCTTTTTAACAAGTGTATTTAAACTTTTAAGGGTTACATTTTAGTGTCTGAAACTTTTCAGTTTACATATATATACAATATACATAAAAAATAAATGAATGGTACTTCAGCCTAAGGAAAAAATTCATTATTTAAAATGAAGGCTTCTTGCCTCTCGGCATGATATTATGAAGATTGAAGATGAATAGAAAATAAAATTTCTAATATTTTGTTTAAAAGAGTTTATTTATTGACATTGAGACATTGAGACATTCTTAGTGAATTTTTTAGTACTCAAAAAAACCCTTCTACTTTGACTAAAAATGACAAATATCTTCGCTTAAAATAATGTTTTTGAAACTCTCAAAAATGGCTATTATATTCCAAAATAAATGGATGACTTTTTTCCTTTTAACCAACTGTTCAAACTTTAAAGGATGTTTTACTTTGTATAAGTTCTTGATTTCAGAGACACCCACAAACACATACACCCACTTTTAATGAGTAACACACAATATGATTGTAATTTGGTTTTGGAAGGGAATCAACTCTTGCTTGAGCTATATTATTGGTAACTAGATTTTAGAAAATTATGAGAAACAATTTCTTTTATATGGGACTGGGGGGGGGGGGGGTGCACCTGCACCCTTGCACTCCCCCTGGTTACGGGCATGTTTAGATCATTGTAAACAATGTATAATTTGGCCTTTTACTATAGTATATATTTAATGATTATTATAAATATCATTGTTAAAATAAATTCGAAATATAAGGAAGACGATTTTTCCGACTCAAATGCCGAAGTTAATTCTCAATGTTTGTGTACACAGGAAGCAAGCATACCACATGTGTCAAATCCCCGCTCACCTTAGATCCCCGCTTCAACCGGCAGTCAGTTCCTAACACTCATATTCACAACTCCATCTCTACCCTGGCTCCTCCATGATGATGATGCAGATACTCAGCGCAACGCACCTGTAGATCTGCCCCACCAACATGAAGCTCTACATCACCCCTCTGACTCCTTCGTGCTGATGATGCAGATACTGAACTGACAGCAGGCATGCTTATACTTCTGATCTCCCTATTAACTTCTTGAGAAGCTTACTTAGGAAACTTGTCGAGCTTTGTCCGAAGTTTCCGCTATCTTGAGTTGCCTTGCCTTTGATCCATTGATAAACCCTGTTGTCCCAGTTCCCGGATCTGTTCCACCAACATGAAGCTCTACAACACTCCCTTGAAGCACCATCTGATATCCATCATTAATTCCTTTTTTGTTAATTTCTAAATCAACCAATTTTAACTTCGCCATGTGCAAATATTTCAAAACAGTTTTATTTTTCTTAAATAAAAGTTATAGAATATTTGTGTTTCCTGATTTCTTTATTTGTATATTGTCTGACCTTTTTTAAAGGTCAACAATCATGTTTATAATTATATACAGTCAAACCCTAAATAAGCCACTAAATCAAAAGAATTCATCAAATGTTGTATTCTTCACTTTCTAATAATGGAATGTAGCAGATATTTAGTTTTTTAATTAATGATTATATGGGGCCGCTCTTTAAAACTGTTCCTGAGATTTATGTATAAAATAGTATAAACCCCATTGAAAAATTGACAACATTTGATACATTCTTTCGATGTATGCCTTATTTAGGGTTTAACTGCAAAATGCAACATTGATAGATTGATAGTTGAAAAAATACATAGATATATGAAATAAAAAGAAAAGATAGATTTATAGATTTGTGCATATAATATATCTATCTATCTACTAGATTATCCATCAATCTATCTATGCATGCAGGGATAAAAATACCAGCGGGAAAAAATTGTCTTTTTCAACACCGATTTGATCTTTTTGAGGAGATTTACAGTTCTGTTAGTGGGAGTTTTAAAACTACACACATTAGATTAGTTCTCATTTTCTACCAATGTCGGTGTACTAATCAACCAATCGGTAAACTGATCGGTTCAACCGCCCTGTTTACGCTATCGATCTCCGCTTCATGTATTATCTGAACAGATCAGAATGAAAAAGCCGAGTGATTTCATTCCTCAGGCGGAATTTCTTCAGTCAGAGATCGGAATTCCGATCGACAGAAATTCTAGCTGTGTTAAAATCACATATTACGATAATACCATGATGTATCCTAAAAAAAAAACCTATATGCGTTCCTGAAATAAAAAGATGGTTCCTGAAAGAAAACCCCTAAGCGCGGTTCCTGGCAGAGACTCCTATAAGCGTGGTTCCTGATGGAGGCCCTAGAAAGAATTTATCCCCACGTTCTATCTTCCATCTGAAGAAAGTGACTTAAACCTCTGCAATATCAAAAATTGCTAGACACCCACCCTAGCAATTCTAAAGTTAAAATGAATTAAAGGGACTGTAAAGGAAAAACAAAGAGGGTATGGGATGAAACCTGAGAATCTCAGGCGTTTAACCATACACATCTATCCAGATGGGTTCCAAAAAAATGTAGTGACAAATAAACTACCAAAAATAAACGACTGACATATATATTGAGGTCTAAATACAACATAAGTTTTTCTGTACTAAATCAAATTTATTTGGTTTGGTTAGCTGAGCTTCCGGACTGCAAGACAATATCATACAGGTCTCCACATGATTAACAATCAGTGCTAATTGAGGTGAGGCGAAGAAAGAGTTCATGCAGCTCACTCAATTATGTTTTTGTAGCAAACTTGCCTGGACTCCAATAGGTAAAATAGTTCAGAGGGGTATTAAAAAAGTTAAATGTATTCCTCCATAATTAGAAGATAAACTATATCTACTTGACCTTTTCTTTTTTAATATGGCTTCAGTAAGAAGCTAAGGAAGCCAATTTATAGTAATTCATTTTCATTATACTTATGTTAGAATTGTATTTATGAATTTCTATATTTGTATAAAAATTGGACAAAAAAAGTTTTTTGTCTGGGCAGGTATTCAACCTTTTGTAGAGGGGTTGGAGTATAGATTAATAACAATACAGATAGAACACTAGATGTAGTCTTTTCAAGATTTAGGGGTTTTTCGTTCACAATAACCCTGAGGCAGAAGCCCAAGGGAGTTACGCGCATGCCGCGATGAATTACAAGACAGAGAGTGAGCATGCCTGTAGCTCCTTTGGGCTTAACTTCCTCAGGGTTATTGTGAACGAAAAACCCCTAAATCTTGAAAAGACAACATCTAGTATTTTATCTAGGTATTTTTATTGATCTATGGGTTGGAGAAATTTTTCATAGAGTAATAGTGAACATTATATAGATTTTTCCATTATCAATTTCGTAAACCTTTACACGATTAGGTGGCAAAGAAAAATGGATTAG